CTACACCAACACCTACAGCTGCATAGGCTACGCGAGCTTGTCTGCTTATAAAAAAGTAGCATGCCTGCCACTGGTCTATCAAGTCTAAAGGTTAGGGCATGAACAAAAGAAGTGAAGATGAAGAAAAACGAAGGAAAACATGTTTATAAACAACTAGCAAAGGCCGAAGGAGTTCAAGCAAAACAAGAGCTATAAGGAAAAACAAAGAAAATCCTAAAGGCTACCTAAAATACTACACTACAGCAGCTTGGACATCCCACGACTACTCGGTCGCCACACCTTCAACAGCCGTAACACTCTTAGCAACGGCATCATCCGGCGCTTCACCCCCGGCTGCCCCAGTCTGGGCACTAACTTCTCCAACTACTTCACCAATGGAAGCCTTAAAAGTAAAAGCAAGCAAGTCTTTCGGAGAAATAGAGAATGTCTTAAAACCTCAAGCCCATCATTCTCACCCTTCAGCTGTTCATTCTTCTTAAGCAGACTAACACAGACGCGCTGCAGCTCATCCACTCCCTTCTTAGCATAAGCAGCGAAACGAAGCTCAGAAATTGCAAGCTTAAGATCTTGAATCTGAGGCGAATCAATCTCAGCAGCAAAGGGAGCAGGCTTTGGCGCCACTTTAGCAGCAGAGTCCACCTTACCACTCTTCATAATAGCAAGTCTCTACAAAGGTGAACCGGACTTGGCTCCCAAAGAACATCCTGGTACAGACTTCGGCACTGGGGGCATGATAAAACCTTTACGCTGAGCAATCTTATCCACAATTGTACTAGCCATTCTCAACATGGAAGACGCCACATGCTCAGATCTAGCAGCCTTATTTTTCTTCCCATTAGAAAAAGTCATGTCAATCACATACCTCTCGGTAGCAAGCGGACCCTCATGAGCAGCAGAAGAAGTCTTCAGTTTTTTCTTAACTAGGCATCTCATGAGCAGGCGGGGAAGATCTCTTCTTTCCATCTTCATTCATAGTAAGCTCCACGACAGCGATCAGACGAGCCAATGCATCCGCCTTGATCCTCTTTACCTCATCTTTCTGGAGCAGCCCACCTTTCTTTCAGCAAAGAAGACTAAGCAGCCAACGACATTCATGGTACTCAGCAGGGGAGCTCAACCCAGCATTCCAGCAGGCAGAAGGCCTGCATGCCCAACATTCCAGCAGCCCATGAGACCCGCAATCTCCTTATTTCTCTCAATCGCCAGCCTGGCCCGAGTCAGGTCCAAGACCCCAAAGGACATGAGCCATGCGGCTCGCCTAACACTGTGCCCTAGCGCCACAATCCTCGACCCCAGCTGCACAAGCTGCCCTTGGCTCAAGCCAAGCCAAGCTGCCCAAGTAGTGGTCCCTGCCACGACATCTCCTCAGCTCATGCCAAGCCAGCTTCTGGCCCCTGCCAGCCGACGTGCCGCACCACCCCGACGGCTACCACGCAATAGCACTATCCAAGAATAAGGCAAGAAAAATTAAATTTTTCTTACATTGGTGCGGCACGAAGAAGACGAAGAAATCAACGAAAGACGGTCCTTTGCACGGGCAAGATGTATAAGATTGCTAGAGGAGGGGGAACAAATATCCTCTAAGCTATCTCTCTCTTGTAGGGTAGAATAAATCGCTCTCCAAAGTTGATTTAATAACCCACTTAAGGTGGACTTAAATAGGCTTTGAGAGAAATTTATTTCCCTTTCCTAGAAGGATCTAATTTCCTATTAAAGAGAGAATCTACATCAAAATAGGAAGCAGTCCTAAGTTTCCTAAAGCAAGAAAATCTCTACACCTGCCGCCCTTTTTTGCGAGCAGCCCAACAGGTGTGGGGGCATTTGTGGAGCCAAAAATATTCACAAGGCGACACGTGGGTTTTTTGGACAAAAAGGACAAAAATACCCTCGAGGCATACCGGGTCTCCTACACGCGAGCAGTGGAGAATCATCCATCAACCAAGTCAGAAGTACCCAAAATGGGTAACAATTCAAAACCTATTTCATATATGTTTTTACCTCATTTTTTCCTTATTCAATTAGCCATTTATTTCAAACATTCCATAACATCCTCAACCAATTAATATAATCAATATATTAAAGGCTAATTACATCACCAAATCACCCCAAAATCACACCAAGGGCCGGCCATTCCCATCCAAAAAGAGCCTATCATATTCTCTACCTTTTCCACCATTTTCCCTTTTTAATTAAACCTAAATTAAACCTAAAAACCCTAGCCACCTCCTAACTCTATAAATAGGCACCTATTCTCACCAAAAAATCAATTCCAACACTTTGGCAAAAATCCCAAAATTCTCTAAACACTCTTTCTCTCTAAATTCTAACTTTGGCATCGGAGGTTCTTCGGCCAAAGCCCCCCCCCCCCATTCATCGTGGGCGCGTGAGGCTCTTGGCCTTAACCTAAGGTGTTAATTGTTTTGTAGGTGCAAAATCGTCCAAGATCGAGGAGGAAGAAATTTGCATCCACACTCACCCTTTTATCTCCATTTGTATTTCCCTTATCAATGCAATTGTTATTCCTGACCAATATATATATATATATATAGGGAACAATATTGAGATTAATTCATAAACCCCAGAATATATTATTCAAAAGAGACATGTCAATGAGATGCATGACTTGACTTGTGAAATCAAGGCATGCTCAACCTATCACAAGAATGCCAATTATTTGCCAACAAGATGATATTATCAGGGAAAAAAGTTAAGTAGTTGTGAAGAGTAAAGAAATAATTTAAAACTCGTTAGTGCTCTTCAAAATCCTTATCTAAACACAACATAGTGAAAATCTTGGCTCATAAGATTGAAAATCTCCTAGTTTTAAAACTCATTATTTTGGTTCAGTTTCAAAATAGGTATAATTTTGTTGCAGCCCCAAAATAGTTTGTGTTATTTTGTTCAGTTTCAGAAATAGTGTTGGTTATTTTGGCTTAGTTTCAAAATAATGTATGTTATTTTGCTATAATTCCAAAACTAATGTTTATTTTGTTTCCTTTCAGAAATAGTGTAGATTATTTTGGTTTAATTTTCAAAAATAGTGTGGGCTATTTTGTTGTAGTTCTAGAAATAATGTAGGTTATTTTGTTGTAGTTCCAAAAATAGTGTGGTTATTTTGTTATAGTTTCAGAAATAGTGTGGGTTATTTTGGTTCAGTTTCAGAAATAGTGTGGTTATTTTGCTATAGTTTTAGAAATAGTGTGGGTTATTTTGATTTTGAAAAATAGTGTGAGTAATTTTTTTTGTAGTTTCATAAATAGTGTGGATTATTTTGATTCAGTTTCAGAAATAGTGTGAGTTATTTTGCAGTAATTCCAAAAATAGTGTAGTTATTGTGGATCAGTTTCAGAAATAGTATTGTTATTTTGATTTAGTTTCATAAATAGTGGGTTGTTTGGCTATAGTTTCAGAAATAGTGTGTGTTATATTGGTTCAGTTTCAGAAATAATGTGGTTATTTTACCATAATTCCAAAAATAGTGTTTATTTTGTTCTATTACAGAAATCGTGTGTGTTATTTTGGCTTAGTTTTCAAATGTGGTTACAATCAATAATACTAAATTACAGTAGCAATACGTTATCTAATAAGTAATGTTAGGGAGACCAAATTTTTAAACCAAATTTACAAACTAAATTATATGTCATCAATAAAAAAGAAGCATGTTAAGAAAGAAAACATAATGACATGTTGATACTAAAATATAGAAACCTTTGATTAAATATCCAATTAAATAAAAATATCAAACAAATGATAATTAGCTTTATTTTTTTCCAAGTGATTTCATTTAAGTTTCATATGCATTGAAGATGCGTTAAAAATATTAGGACTGATTTCAGGGGGGGGGGGGTATTAAATGAAAATTACATTAGTATTTTGAAGGTTGATTTACAAGATCTGTTGGTTGCTATTTATTAGCTGGCTTTCAACCATTTTTCAAGTGTATAAGTCATTCACAACAACTATTGTGCATGATTCAACGTGAACATAACCTATTTTGCATGATTAATAAACCTACTCCGCGCACCCTTGCAACGTTTGAGAAGAAAGTAATGTCAAAGTTAAGAGATATATCACCATTTAATGTCCTAATTTTCATTTAGGGTTAGTCACACTCATACCTCATCATTCTTCACCCAAAGACAGCTAGCTCAGAAAATTGAGATAACCCTAAATAATATTAGGAGTCTATAAATAGACTCTGAAGTTCAGTCATAAACATATAAGTCTGAGATAAAAATTTGATCAGATGAAGATCACTTCGATTATAGCATTTTTCTGTCTTTTTCCTTTTGTAGCGGCTGATCTTAGGGTTGGCTTTTACAATTCTACCTGCCCCCAAATTCTTAATTTGTTAACTTTCCCAACAAGGTAAGCACAAATTTTAAGCCTTTAAGTTAGAGTTATCAAAGGCAGGTTAGCCTAACACAACACGAGCACATCCTATTTAAATAAGTCACAACATGGTTCGACCATCAATGTTGGATATACTCGGAAACCCTGTTCAAATATATTACAAGTCTATAAATACTACTCTAAAGTTTAGTCCAAAACATAAAAGTCTAAGACAAAATTTTGATTAGATGAAGATTACTTCGATCGTAGCTTTTTTCTTTGTTTTCCTTTTTGCATTTATTGATCTTAGGGTTAGCTTCAATAATTCTACATGCCCCCAGTTGAGTGTATAATACGTGAAATTGTTCAGAAATGGTTTGAAATCGATTCGTCTACCACTTGGGCCTTACTCACTGAATAACTGACAAACCAAATTCTTAATTTGCTAACTTTTCCAACAAGGTAATTCAGCACATTTAAGTTAGAGTTGTCAAAGGTCAGGCTGATCTAGCATGACACAAGCACGACCTATTTAAATAAGTCGCAGCAGCTCAACCATTAACGTTGGATATACTTGGAAACCCTCCCCACATGGACTAAATGACTACAGTATGAAAAAATACTTAGTGAGCTATATATAATTAGTAAGGAAAGAAAAATAGACCAAAATGACAAGGTACCTAAACCTCATGCTAACACAGTACCCTTATTTAGGGCAATTGGTAACCTATTAGTAGACTGATTGGTTAGTTGACTCTTTTGCAATCAGCCCTAATCTCTCCAGTGATTCCTGTCAAAGGTCTTATATTCCCCAATTTGATCATGGACTGTGCAAAAGTATCAAAGAAATCGCTTTGGTTATTAGCAAAGTGGTTCACAATGGAAACAGTGTCTATGCTACTTGTTGAGAACAACTCCTGATCGGTTTGGAGGGGCCCGCGGTTGTTTTGGAGATTTTTGTAGTAGTAGTCGAAGGATAATATCATGCATGCCATTATTAATTAGATAATTATTTCATAATTAAACATGTTATGTAATGTTCTACCATAATATTGCACATTTTGCAGAGTGGAGGAACTTCATGGAAAGTTCTACTTGGAAGAAGAGATGGTCTAGTGGCAAATCAGACAGGAGCAAATAGGGCACTTCCTGCACCATTTGAAGCCCTAGACAGCATCATTTCGAAGTTTGCCGCTGTCGGCCTAAATGTCAATAACATTGTGTCCTTATCAGGTACATATACTTCCTATAGTGATTTCAACACTCTATTTTAGTCTCATGTGCAATTCTCTTGTGCATGCAGAGAGAAGAATATAAAATGTTCAGTTCTAAGCGCATGCGATTCAGAGAACGCGTTAAATTTATCTAGAGAGTAATATCCTTAGCAGTGTTAGTCTTTAATCTCGTTTTGTGGCTGGAACTAGACAAGATCGGACTGAGTCGGACACACATCCAATAAAACATTGGGAAGATAAAAAAAATTCTCCCTTTAATATGTCGGCAAGTATCTGAGACACTTAGTCCACTTTAATGGGAAATTAAGTTGATGGTTCTTCAGATTTTGTCATGTTCTTCATCTCTGTTTAATTAAGAGCGAATATATCATTAGTTGATATAATCTACCAGTTGATTAAAGTGTTAAAGGGGTTTAATTATGTGTAGGCGCCCATACAATTGGGTTGGCAAGGTGTGGCACTTTCAGAGATCGACTCTTCAACTTCTCAGGAACAGGTGCTCCTGACATTACGTTGGAACAAAGCATGTTAACTGATCTACAGCACCTGATGGAAGCATTACCGCGCCTTTTGATCGGAAGTCAGCTCATCTATTTGACAACCATTATTTTCAGAACTCGATTAAAGGGAAGGGCCTCATTAGTTCAGATCAAATTCAATTTTCAAGTGATGCAGCTGTGACAACAGGGACCAAGAGTTTTGTCCAAAACTAGAACTCAAATATTAATCGTTTCTTTGCTGATTTTGCTAATTCTATGATCAAGATGGGGAATATTAGTCCTCTTACTGGGTCTGCTGGAGAGATCAGAAAGAACTGCAGGGCTGTTAATGCGTGAAATATGTCTAGCTAGCAGTGTACTTGCATTTTGCAATCCTGGCTCCTAATTGCTTTTATATAGACTGTATGTGGTATGAATACAGTCAAGTCCTTTTATTTTCTTTTGAACCATGAAGTTTCCACGTGTAGTAACTGTTATAGATGTATGAGTTTAATTTCGTAAACCCAATTAAAAGTCGTGATTTATTGTTCTCATTTTTTGTCAAAAATGAGAGAGTATTTTTGCCTGGGAATTAAGGTAAACTTATAAGCCATTCACAAGTGGAATTACCATTAATTAAAGTCAAGTGTTTCTTACTAAACTTTAAGCTGGAAAACATAGAATCAATAACACATCCCTTTTTACTTCTTCCACACCCCTTATTAATTTCTATCCTTTGATCTTTTTCAATTCATCCGATTCAACGGCCAAAAATTAAAAGGATGTGAGAGAAGTAAAAAAGGGTGTGTGGATATCACATCCCTAAAAAAATGTTGGCGGATCAAAACGGAGTTCCGTTGACATCTCCTCAATGTCCTGTATGAATTATAAGAATCTTAATCTTGTATATCCATTTGCAGCCTACTAAATTCTTATTGGGAGGTAGAGGAACAAGAGACCATGTATGTTGCTGAATAAGCGCATCTATCTCCTCTTTCATTGCCTTTGGTCACTGTATGGACTTGGAAGCTGCACTAAATGACTATGGTTCTTTACTTGAATTTGACTAAACTGCAACACTAAAAGCCTTTTTCTTCTTAAAAATACCAGACTTTGACCTTGTCTGCCTAGGATGACAATTTTGAGAAGAAATGGGCACAATATGTAATTCTGGAGCATGATAATTTAGTATTTGGATGAAACTCTGAGACACTATGGGCATGGACGGAGCCAATGAAGGCCCACTAAGGGCAGATGCCCCCACTCAAGTAATTCAAAATGGTCTTGCTCTGTCATTCAAACTGAAAAACCCTTCCTCCGCCTCTCATGTGTTAATATTTTTCTCATCAATTTGTCACTTTTCACTACTATTGATATTTTTGTAACATTGCAATTGTGAACATCGTCATTTGAAATCATCCCCATTATCATTTGGTTATAAACCATACTATAATAGGTCTTCTTAGTGTTTTTCAAGTTGCCCTAACTAGAAGAAAATTCTAGCTCCGTCCCTGACTGTGGGACATTGATTTTGAGCTTGAAGTTGAGGTAGAGGTAGTGGAGACAAGATCACCATTGTTGAGAGGAGTGGACTAAGTGACAGATTGTCTAAGAGCATTTGATGGTGGTACAAACACATATGGTAAAGAAATAGGGATGATCAGAGTTTTTCGAAAAGTATTAGGATGAACAACAAAGGTTGTAGAAGTACAAGACACAGATGAACTAGTCATATTAACACTCAGCTTATGTGTAGTAGGAAAATGTGTCTCATTAAATAAAACATGCCTAGAGACAATTAATTTGTTCTTTTTAACTGCATAACAAATATACCTCTTGTATTGAGCAGCATATCCTAAGAAAATACACTGAATGGTCTTAGGTTCAAGCTTATTGGTTCTATAAGGTTTCATGCAAGGATAACATGCACAACCAAACACCTTTAAGTGATCAAGCCTAGGTGGAGAGTAATATATAAGACTTCAAAAGGTGATTAAAATCTCATCCTACACTCTTCACAAGTGTATTTTTCTTTCCAAATATAGAAAGTTTGGAATGTAGAATGAGAATTTTAGAGTGCCAATCATAATTTTCTATATATATTTATATATTTAATTTTGCAGTTTGAGTTAAATATCTAAATATGAAATTATAAATATTTTTTTGGAATTTGCCATGCAGCGTTTTGGGTGGGGGGCGGGCCCAAAAAATTTCTTTTTAAATATGTGTGTGTATATATAATATATATATAAATATATTTTTAGAGTTTGAATTTAATAAAATATTTAAATATAAAATCATATAATTGTCTTGAAACTTGGCGTACAAAGTGTCTTGGGTGGGGTGAAACTTCAGCAACAATTCAACTTTTTTTTTGGGAATTTAACGCACAACATACTGGTAGCAAGTCTACGCCTGCGAATTAGTTCTTTCCCATTCCACTTACAGAGGTCAGGTACCCGATCAATGCTTATCTTCTCTTATGCTTCTTTTTCTATAATTTAATTTGTGACTTGTGATTGTTGTGCTTGTAAATATAATTAGGATTTTCAATTCTAGGGTTTATGATTTGTTTATTTTAATGCGTATTGTTTATGTGAAATCAGAGTATTCACTTGTCAAGTGTCTATATTGCAGTTATAAAATTCGAACTTGTGGATGCACTTAATAAAGTGGTTAAATCCCTTCAAGAAGATAAATGGATTATGGGTGCACTTAACAAGGTTGGTTTGTCACGCCCCGATCCCAACATACGTCTAGGATCAACACGCGACGTCACCAAATACTTGTATATCTAACATACATTGCCTCCGGGACACCACTCAAGGTCCAAATTGCATAGTAATTTTCGTAAATTTTATGGCTGTATCTAACCTCCTCGTTAGACTACCTACGTACCCTCAACAAGGATCAAGTCATTCGTAGTTCGTCCTTCGCTACAACTCGATATATATCACAGCCCATTCAAGCCGAAAGGCATAACATTCATCCATCAAACATATGGACTTGAATTATTCGATTCAAGCTACATAACAAATCCACATGACAATCAAGGTTTCTATTTCACCCATCATATAAACCATTAATTATGTTTCAACATAAAGTCGCAATTCATATCAACAAAGCACAATAGTTTCCTCTAGTCGCATTGATCACTGATCTAATCGTATTAATAACAATCATATTTAACATCATTCCATAATCACCTCAAGTAACTCATTCCATGAATCAAGGAGACACGATATTAACATTTAATTACATTAATCAGTCAATACGATAACTTATCATTTCACAAATTTAACTAAGGAACTCTACATAATTCCTTACTTGGATTATGAGTAATAAACAAGTAATTCTAATTTATATTCACAAGGTCTGTTGTGGGTAATTCTCATTCACTCGAATCCAGGGTTCTAGACTAACCTTATGGAAGTGAGCAAGGATTCCGGACCACTCAACGGAATCCAAAATATCAAACGATTTCTCGTAATCTACCCAAATCTGTCACATGTAATCAATGCCTACATCATGGAAATGGTACATCAGGCTAATCAGACACTTAGATAAACTGCGAGACTCGGGTGAGTGACAATAATACAAGTATGTGATATTTAGTAAAAACAGACTATCGATCACAATCTATAAACATCGAGTATAGAATCATGCTTTATGAAATCAAAATCAAGTTGCTGCAAACTCCGAAGGAGTAACCCAAACATCCAACGACTTTTCTAATTCAAACCACAAGATTCTCATAACCATCATTCATATGTGCATTAAAAACTAGGGCTAGAGGGACACAGTTCGGCCGAAGCCCACATAAGTAACCAAACAGGAAGTGGTCTCCCAAAGCGGATTAACCAGGCAAAGCCACCCCTGATAAAGTAACCAAGTAGGTAGTGACCCCCTAATGCGGATTAACCAAGCAGAGTTACTCCTACAACTGTTAGGAAGTGATCACCCAACGCGGATTAACCAAGCATGATTGCTCCTAAGCATACATGGCCATAAGGATCGCCCAACGCGAATTAACCAAGTGCAATCCATAAATAGTATGGTCCCCCAACGCGGATTAACCAAGCAGGACCACTAATGACCCCCCCCCAATGCGGATTAACCAAGCAGGGTCAAGATAATCAAGTAGGTAGTGACCCCCAACGAGATTAACTAAGCATGATCACCCCTAAGTATAAATGGTCATAAGGATCGCCCAATGCAGATTAACTAAGCATGATCACCCATAAGTATAAATGGCCATAAGGATCGCCCAACGCGGATTAACCAAGTGCAATCCATAAATAGTATGGTCTCCCAATGCAGACTAACCAAGCAGGACCATCCATGTACCACTGCTACATGGTGCAGTTAGATCAACACATAAACCAATTACCCTTATCTCATCTGCTATGATTTACAGCATAATCACTTTCACTATCAACTTCTCATTATCGTTATCTTATCATACAAGCATAAAAGTTCTACATAATATTTCTCATAAGATTCTGGGTTCACATTGTCATAATTACAATCATACACATCATACATATCTAACCACATTTCATAAACGTTTCCCAAGTTACAGTCGATTCATAATTAATAAACATAGATTGATGCTAAAAATAAAAATAACAATTCAATAGAAAGCACATTTAATAAACAAGTATAACTCAATATGGTGCCACTAATACATATATTGAGACACACGTCAACTGGGAACGACACATCATCGTGATGAGCCAACTAAGCTTCATCAAGCCTCATCAAGCCTCAACAACAAATTAGAGATAAACAACACTCTAGAGTAGAGCACATTGATTAGAACGTCAACCATCAATAAGGTATGTCCATTAAGGTCAACAATCTAAGGTTATTCAATCCGGAAGATCTGCACATCGGATTTCCAATCCGTAAGTTCTCAAAGGTCCAACAACTGATAACTATGGAGCTCACAAAATTGTACGACGATCCAACGATCAGATTGTCATCAATCACACAAACAAGTGGTGGTCCAATTTGATCACCACACCAAACAATTGAATTTCAGGAAATCGAGCTAGACATAGGTTCATAGGGTCACTAGATGGTATTTGGTACTTAGACAATACTCGTGGACGGTCCCACGCACCGCCACACACAATGGTAGCCATGATAAAGGGTTTGAAAACCCAAATTTTCAACTTTAACCAGAAAGGTTCATATTTATGTGGTAACTAGAGCTCAACAAGGGAAACATTATTCACAATTAGGCCAACGAAAAATTCTAACCGGAAACCATCCAAATTGATCAAGGAAAACTGGGTTTCTAGGGTTCTAAACACCCAACTCTAAAACGAATACAAAAGCACAAACCAAGCATA